CAGCTCTGACATCCCCTGTTCTAAGGTCCCTCCCAGCTCTGACATCCCATCTTCTAAGGTTCTACCTAGTCCTGCCATTTGATGACGCTACAAGAGACGTCAAAATGCTCAGTCAATATAAGAAGTTTTCATTTAGATGATTCCCAAGCATCTCTCCAGAAAACTCCGACTCCAATGCAAGGTCTACTCTTTGCTCCCTGTGCAACTTCAGGCAAATGACGTTCTCTCTGAGTCTCAGTTTCCTCCCCTGCACAATGAGGAGATTATAAGATGTAGAATCCTGCCGGTCAGACCCAGGCTGGCCTGGGAGACCGTCAGCTCCCTGAGGCCAGGCAGAATGTCCTTTTCTTATTCCACAAGCCCACAGCACATAGGAGAGTGCTCAGCTTTCCCCCTCAAATCATCAGGAAATCTCTCCTGGTTTCTGTTTGTGTCCATTTCCCCCCAACGTTTAGCCTCCCGGACTCTCCCTTCCACCCTTCCTGCCTCTGCCATTTCCCCGAGAGAGCTGTCAGTCAGGTGGGAAGGTGCAACCCAGGGAGGAGAATCCGCAGTGACCAGGCCAGGTCCTGGGCATGGCAGGGCTGCGGCGAGCGCCCTAACATACCAGGAGGAAGAGAAGGAAAGGAACTGGCAGCAGGAGCAAGGCCCAGTGGTAGATGGGCCAGGGCTGAGCCCCGAGATTAAGTTAGTCATGAGGGGAACAGAACAGGAAGTTGCGGTCTCTTTTCCTGCTAAAGACAGAAGAGATGTGGAGGCCTCCCCCTCTAAGAGCCCTCCCAGTTCCGGCCGGAAGAAGGAGATGGTGAAGTCAGAGAGAGGCTGAAAGAGTGGGGGTAGGGAGGTCAGTGTGACCACAAGGATATAAGATGTCAACAGGCAGGGTATCAGAACCCAGGAGGAACAGAGAGCCAGAGCACCTGAGGGCAGGGCCAGACTTCCTCTTGAATTGGCCTTTGAGAGTGCAAGCGGCCCTGCTGGGCTTGGGGCACAAGCCTGGGTTCAAACCAGACTCTACACTTACTCTGTGGCCTTGGACCGAAGTCAGTCCCTAAGCCATTCTGAGCCTCAGTTTCTTGACCTAGAAAATGGGGCTGATAGATTACATCTGTCATACGTACCTCAGAGTTAGTTGTGAGACTCCAATATTGTAAAGGCTCTCATAGCAATCAATAAATGTCAGCTTTGAGGGCTTTTGATTGGAAATGGGCAGGGAGCTTCCAGTAAGGAAAGCACCTTCACCAATGGGTCTAGCACCTGCTCTATCCCATATAGTCTTAGAGGATTACATGGGGCACTGAAGACAGCATGCCAAGGTCGCACAGCCAGTGCATATCAGAGGCAGCACTTGAACCCAGGTCTTCCTGGCCCCAAGGCCCCATGCTGCCTCAGCTAGTAGCAGTGGTAGTAGTAGTAGTAGTAGTAGTAGTAATAGTAGTGGTTGTGGTAGTAATAGCAGTGGCGGTGGTGGTGGTAGTTGTAGTAGTAGTAATAGTGGTGGTAGTAATAGCAGTGGTGGTGGTGGTGGTGGTAGTGGTAGTGATGATGGTAGTATAAGCAGGCCAGACTGTTACCCACCATGCCCAGGCAGAATCACAGAATCTTAGAACTGAAGAGGCCTCCAGGACCATCTAGTTCTTGACTAGTCTGAGACAAGAATTCCCTCTCCCACCTTCCCAAGTCATCGCCCAACCTTTCCTTGTGAGCCTCCCCTGAAAGGAAGCCCAGAGAGCTGGCACACTGCCTTCCATGACCCCCATTACACATTGGGACAGCTTTTATTAGGAACATTTTCCTGCCTCCCACTGAAATGTTCCTCTCCGCAGCTGCCAGCTCTGGCCTCTGAGAGCAAGAAGAACTAGGTTCATTGCTCTTCTACATGATAGCAGCCCTATGGACACTTGAATCTATAATAATTATGTCTCCCCTGAATCTTCTCTTCTCCAGGTCAAACATCCCCAGCCCCTTCATCTGATACTCAGATGGCGGGCTCTCAGGGCCCTTTACCCCTCCTTGGCCACCCTGCCCCTCCCAGCTTGTCCATATCCTTCCTAAAATGTGACACCCACAATGAGCTCAGTATTTTAGATATGGCAACCAAGGCATGACTCCCATCATCCTAGTCCTGAGCGCTCTACCTCTGCTAAGGCAACACGAGCCTGCATTAGCTTTGGAGGCTGCCATGTCATAGCACGGACTACCAAAACTGGGTATGTATGTAATGTCATGTCATGTCATATCATGTCATATTATGTTATGTTGTGTTGTGTTGTGTTATGTTATATTGTGTTACGTTATGTCGCATTGTATTAGATCATGTTCTACCACATTCTATTGTATCGTCTATTAGATTATATCTTATCATATAATATTTTACTGTGTCTTGTGTTGTATTATTACATTTTATTACATTACATTATATTGTATCATCTTGCATTCTATGCATCATATCATATAAATAGCATATATTATGTTTATAATCTTATCTATTTTGTCATATTATGTAATGCTATATAATATATGTTAGGATAGGTTAGATTTTGAATTATATGATATGATACGATATGATATGATACTATATTTTATGATACTATCCTAGTTTATTAACATGAGTGTGTTTCCCCTTATGGATTACAAACACAGAGTTCAGGGACTGGGTTTGCAGTTTTGTTTTGTGTTTTTGGTCTCTGTATCCTAAGCATAATACTTGGCATGTAGTAGAAGCTTAATAAATGTTTGTTGACCTATTGATTAAGCTTGCAGCTCAGGAATACCTCCAGCTCTTTTTTTAGATCACCTACTATCTAGCCATGCCTCTCCCATCTTGCTCTTGTAAAAAAAAATTTAAATCTGTGTCAGACTTTTCATTGATCTCTGTCAAATTTCATCATAATCAAGGAAGTAAGCCTATCAGTTGCAGAGCAGGGGGTGATCCCCGTTGGCGAGGGAATTCTTCACAGCAGCTCAAGGATGTGAAATGCCAGATCCGTAGTCTTGTTCAATTTATGCCAGAGCTCTATCTGAGCCCTTTCAGTCTCCCAAGTCTGCCCTCCAACAAGTTAGTCATCCCTCCAAGCTTTGGGTCATTGACCAAAGGATGGGCGCCATCTATGTCTTTATCTGAGAGATTGATAGAAATCCACAACTTGGATAAAACTCTAAGGTCATGGAGCAAACTTGGCAGAAGATCGAGACATGTCTGGTCTCACCCCTCCTTACCACCTCTAGGTCTAAAGATGTAAACTCTGAGGGGTGCTCCCCCCAGACCACTAAACAAATGGCCCCAGTGTTTGAGGAGTGTCCCATCCTCAGAGTTCATAGAACTTAGGGGAGGAAGGTAACTTAGGAGCCTTCAAGTCTAACCACCACATTTTACAGTGGAGGATTCTGAGGCTTAGACTGGGAAATACTTGTCCAAGGTCCCACAGTTAATAAGTGTCTAAGCCAAATTTGAACCCTGGTCCTCTGACTCTAAATCCAGGGCTCTTTCTACCATGTCTTTCTCCAGAAAAAGAGGAACAGGTAAGAGGGCACATCCCAGAGCTGAGAGAAGAAAGAAGAATAGGAAGAATCTAAAGATAAACCAGAGTTGGACAGAGGAAAAGGGTGTTCCCATCCCACCCCACCACCATAGGGGCACTCTCCCCATTTTATTCCCCACATTGCTCTCTCTCTGCCTAAGCTGCCCAGACTCCAAGCAGTAAGACTGGGAAGCAGGATGACCCACCACAAATGGGGTGTACCTCCTTCCCTGTGCCTCCTCCTCAGCCCCAGACCCCCCAGAACCCATCGGAGCCACTTCACTGCTCCAAAGACCTGGATGAGTGTGAGTCACCAACTCTATTGCTCTGATGAGATGGCAGACCACTAGGCCTTACCATCAGCCACTGTATTCTAAGGGCCTTCCCATCTACCCTGCTTCTACTCCCTCCAGATTCATAGTTGCTGAACTTTCTTTTACGTGTTATCTACTTCAATTAGAGTGTGAGCTCTTTGAGGACAAGGAGTATCTCACTTTTTCTGTTTATATCTTTAGTGCTTAGCACAGTGCTGGGCACAGTGCTTGGTCAATACTTTATTCATTCATACAGGAGAGACTCGAGCAAAAAGAGAAGGCAAGACAGAACCAGAGAATCATAGAATCCAAATGGGAAAGTGACCTCACAGGCCATGTGGTCGAACCCTTTCTTTGAACAAAACCCCTCATATCCAACATTCCCAACAGGAAGTTAACCTTTCTGTCCCAACTAGTGCTTTCCCTCTGAGATGACTGCCCATTTACACTACATCTATCTTTTATGAACATAGCTATTTGGATATTATCTCTTCCATTAGACTGTAAGCTATTGGAGGGCAAGGACTATGGTTTTGCCTTTCTTTGTATCCCTAGCACTTAGCATAGTGACTAAATAAAAAGCCCTTAATAAATATTTATTGATTGACTGTTTGATGATGCTTATTGAGAGAGAACCCACTGTGGCTGTCCCTGGTTATTAGAAGAGCTGCTATTCTTTTTAGTGGGACCATCTCTGAATCCATGATCTTTTAACATAATGGGGGAGGCAGGATATTAGGGGTCCTTCATTTGGGTACAGAGTCCACAGGACATGCCCAAGTCTTCATCTTCACTCACCCTGCCAGCCACTGTCTGAAATCAAGAAGGAGGTTTTCCCCAGTATGGAAAGATCCCCTCTTCTCCCTCCTGCCTTTCCCATCCTCCAGAGAGAAGGGAAGGAATAAATGTTTATATAATACCTACTATGTTCCCATCTCTGTGCTAAGAAGTTTTTACAGATATCAGCTCATTTGATCCCTATAACAAGCTTGCTACATAATCATTCTTATTTTACAGTTGAAAAAACTAAGGCAAACATAGGTTAAGTGACTTTCCCAGGGTCATACAGCTAGTAAGTGATTGGGGTCAGATTTGAACTGAGGTCTTCCTAACTGCAGGCCCAGCTGCCTCTAGGGAGGTAGAGAGTGCTAGGCACTAGAGATACAAAGCCAAAGATGATGGTCTCTGCCTTAGATCTCCACTGCCTGGTCACAGAACTCTTACCTATTTCCTTGGCGAGGGCGAGGCCTTGTGGATATGTGATGGGTGTTAGCTTCTTCTCCTTCAGCTTCTCAATGGTGTCCTTGTCATCACGAAGATCCAATTTGGTGCCCACCAGGATGATGGGGGTGCTGGGGCAATGATGCCGAACCTCAGGGTACCACTAAGCAGGGAACAGCCAGCAGAAAGGGAGAAGAGTCACAAAGTTGGGAGGGAGTAGGATAGGGAACCGAAATATCCGTCCTGGGGTACTCCTCCCCCACCAACCACAACTGTTCACCCATCATAGCCAACACCATTCAAAGCTGCCTTGAGCGGGGAGGCTGGAGGGGCTGCCCTGTGCCCCTGCCCCAAAGCTGCCATTCCCCTTTTGCTGGGTGTCCCAAGGACTCACTCACCTTTGCACGAACATTTTCATATGAGGCTGGGCTCACAAGGGAGAAGCAAATCAGGAAAACATCCTGAGAAGAGAGGAGAGGAAGGGTGCAAATCAGCAAAGTGGGAGGCCAGACTAGGAACAAGGTGGCCATCCCCCTCATTCCCTCAAGCCATATACTCTATGACTCTCATGGATAGATCGAATAGCTCAGGGGAAGGTTGAGGGAATCTGAATTTATACCAAGGAAGAGAGGAGTGATGTTGACTGGCTAATGCTCTGTTACCACCTTTTACTTAACATCGTCCAATTACTTAACACCTACCCTTCATTCGTTATAATCCATCTACTATTCAACCACCTTAAAGGAACCCATCAATAAGCATTGATTAAGCACCTACTAAGTGCCAGACACTATGATGGGGACTGGGGATACAAAGAAAAAGAATTCCTACCTTTTAAAGAGTTTATATACTACTGAGAGAATGTGTTTTGTTCTTGGAGAAGTAAATAGAAGATATAGACCAAATACATATGAAGTATTGGGAAGGGGGCAAGAGAAAAAAGACCTGACAACTAGGAAATCTGGATTCCAACTGGTGGAAGTCAGGAGAGAAAGGAGACTCCCAGCATGGGGGGACAGCCTGTTTAAAGGCTCAGAGGTAGAAGATGAATGTCATGTACAGAGAACAGCCAATAAAACAGTCTGACTGGTCCATAGAATGTGTGATCATTTATCCCCCGTCTATACTTCACCTATGACCAACCATTCACTACTCACCCATGATGTTCCCTTCATCCATTATCTACTATCCTGCCTTCACCCATCACCCGTAATTTATGCATCAGTCACTATTCACCATTCATCCACTTTCTATCTTTTACCCATCTACCTTTTATCCCTGGTTTGCTCTTTACCTATCAGTAACCATCTACCCATCATTTACCATTCATCCATCATCCACAGTCTACCCATCAACCATTCTTTACCACCATCCATCACTCATTCACCATCTTACATTTATCCGTCATCCACACACAAATCTTCCTTTACCCACAAGTCACCATTCATTTAGCATCTACTCTTCACCCATCAGCCACCATCAACTCATCAATCTCTTCTCACCATCTACCTATCATTCACTATTATCCTACCATCCACTCTTCACTTATCAGCCACCATTTACCATTCATCCATCATCCACTATCCACTCACCAATTTTCTTTCACCTATCACTCACCAACTACCCATAAGCCACCACTCCTCCACCATCCACCCTTTACCTATCAGCAATCATTTACCATTCAACCTTTACCAATCGTTCGTCATCCAACCACCAACTTTCCTTAACCTATCACCTACTATCTACACATCAGCCACCATTCACTGTTCATCTTTCACACACCATCCTTTACCTTTCAACAATCCACTCTTTACCTAGTATCCGTTCTTTCACTGCTCAGTCATTGTGTTTTATTCACCCACCATCCTTCGTGTATGCCATTTTTATCTTGAAGGGAGAGAAGGGCTCTGAAGATGAAAGGGTAATCTGGTGTCTTGAGACTACACTATTTCATACATTATCAGCCATGGCCTCCTAGCAAACATAAAGGCCTGCTAGTCTGAGGAATTTCAAGATAAAAAGCTGGGCTGACGCCATCACATTTCCTGTCTTCTCACTCCAGAAGATAACTTCCAAGTGACGCACCAGGGGGCCTCCTGTGCCTGGAGTGGAGTCAATATTCTTTACATCAAGGACCAAGCTCCTCAGATTTCTCATCAGCACCCCTGAGTTATCCAGCCCTTTGGGAGGAGACTGAAGGCAGCCCTGCCAGCCACTCATGAGAGAAGGGAAGGCAGAAGAGACCACTTGCTGCTGATTCACCTTCTCCATTCCAATGCTGAGCAACAGTGAGGGAAACAAAACAGGAAGAAGGATCGGGGCGGGGAGGTAGGGTACCTGGGATGAGAGTAGGTAGAACTTACTGTTTGGGGATAGGAAAGAGGCCGAAGACGGTCATAGTCTTCCTGTCCAGCTGTATCCCATAGCCCCAGGTTCACTGGCTTGCTGTCAACCATCACGTTGGCTGAATAGTTATCAAATCTGCAATTTAAACAGAAGAAGAAATGAAAAAATATGTACTCACTGGCTGTTGAGCACTGAAAATGTCAATTTTGAAAGGAAAAATTGAGTCCCAGGTAAGAACAAGTTGCAGGATCAAGAATTGGAGTAGATTAACTCCCTCATTTCACAGGAGTGGAAATTGAGTCCAGAGAGGGGAAGTGACTTAGCTAGGGGCACACAGCAAAGGGAAGTTAATGTGGTACAATCAAAAGAACAACAGCTCTAGAGTCAAGAAACCTGGGTTCAAAACTTGGCTCTGCATGACCATGGGCAAATGACTTCCCCCTGGACCTCAGTTTTCACATTTGTAAAATAACAGTATTGGTCTAGGTGGCTTTCAGGGCCCCTTCCATCTCTATTCATATGGATACTGTCGCCTAACTTCTCTGGGCCTCAGTTCCCCCATTTGTAAAATGGAGTTGGACTAGATAACCTCTGAGTTATCTATCTCTTCCAACTCTAAATCTATGATCATTTTTGTGACTCAGTTTCCTCCTCTGTAAAATGAGGAGGGTGGACTCAATGACCCTGAAGGGTCTTTCCAGCTCTAGAACTATGACATTGAGTAGCAAGAGCTGAGATTTAAACCTAAGTTCCTCTACTCCAAATCCAATGTACCTGAACACTATCTCATGTTGTTTCCTGGCTTGGTCAAAATGGAGAGATGCGTTCTCCCTCTCTTATTCAACCTAGACCCAGATAAACAGAGTCCATGGCTCTACCCATCAGACAGATGAGAATACTGAGGTACAGGGAAGTCATGAAGACTTTGTGATGTCACTGAGTAAGAGCAATGAAGGAGCCAAGCCTGGGGGCTGAGGCATACACAGCACGGAATGTCTTCCATCAACATTCGAGGGCCAGCATGGTATAATGACTATGGCTTTGGATGTGGAGTCAGGTAGATCTGTGTTCAAATCCCACCTCAGACACTTACTAGCTGTGTGACCCTGGGCAAGTCACTTAACCTACCTGTGCCTCAGTCTCTTTCTCTATAAAATGAGGAGGTTGGATTTGATGACCTCTAAGATTCTTTCTACTTCTAAATTTATGATTCTGTTCAGCCCAATTGAGGGTGGGGAGGGAGATTGAGGGATTCCTATTGAAGGCAGCCCTGTCAGAATCCAAGTCTTTCAACTCTACCCATCTTCTGAAGCCCACCTAAAATGCCACCTCCTCCAGGAAGCTTTCCTTGATCTCCATGACCAGCAAGGATCTTATCCCTTAGACTTCACATAGCCCCTTGAACCTCACCTATCCCCCTAAGACCGAGTCACTGGGCACAGTTTCCCCTGTCCCTGTAAAAGCATGTGTTAGACAAGTCCCCCAAAGTAAATTTGGCATTAGGCTTCATTCAGAGAATCACAGAGGCCAGAGTCAGGAAAGCCAGCCTCCCACTGGCCTCAGCCTTGGCTAGATTCCATCAGGAACTGTTTCCAGTTTGAGGGTGCCACACTGGGGGAGCTTCACTGACAAGCCGGAGCAAACAAGGACATGGATCATCAGGGTGGTGAAAGGTTGGCAGAAGAAAGGAAGGCAGATGTAGGATCGATAGAGTTTCCATGGATGGATGTGGCAGAGTGGCTGATTCCTGTTGACTGGAGGGAAAACCTGCCCTACAATTAGAGCCAACCCAAAGAAGAATTGATTGCTTTGGGAGATAGTGAGCTCCCCTTTCCTGTAAGTCTTTAAGAAAAGGTCAACTGGCCACTTGTCAGAGGTATTGTAGAAGAAATGCCTGTTCATTTGGGGGCTGACCTCAAGCCACCTTACTATACTTACATTCTTGATGTTTAACCTGGAAAGCAATCGATGTCTTTAAATATTTAAAGGGCAGTCACAGAGAAGACAGATTAGATGTGGTCCGGTTGGCCCCAGAGGGCAAGAAGTTACAGGAAGCCAAATTTCAACTCTGTGTAATGAAAGACTTTGAGCTACCCACATCAGAAGGAATTGTCCCAAGAGGTGCAAGGGCTCCGTGTCACTGGACGTCTTCCAGTATTCCCTAAATGAACTTTGGTTAGGGACAATTGTTGCACTGATGCCCTCCAAGTTCCCTCCTGAGTCTCAGATTCTATGGGACTAGATTTATGATTCAACTGGCATAAGGAGCCCCCTTAGAGGAAGTTCTACCTACCCAGGTTGGCGCCCCTTCTCTGCTCTTTATAATCAGAGAGAGTGATGGAAAATTATGAGATGAAGTGGCTTGCTCAGAGTTGCACAGCTAGGATACGTTCAATGCAGATCTTCCCAACTGTGCCCATCCTCTTAAGCCCAATTAAATGTCCCTCTGCCAGGAAATCTTCCCTGATCTCCATGGTCAATAATATTCTTAACTTTCACAAAGCCCTTTAGCAGGTTGGACCAGATGGTCTTTGAGGCCCCTTTCAACTCCAGATCTGGAATCCAGGTATGCAATGTTGTGTATCATAGCTATCTGTGTTGGAGTCCTAATATGTTTAAACCTATTGATCATGGACCATCACGGGTTTTCTCTACTGCAGATTACATACCATAGAACCAAAGAATCTCAGAGTTAAAGGGAACCTCAGAGATCAACTAATCCAATATGTACTTGAACAAGAATCCTCTTCCCAACATTCTTGTCAAGCATTCGTCCAGCCCTACTGGAAGACTGATCTCCCAAGGCCACCCTTTTCACTTTTGAGTTCAGGGGTATGCAGGAGTCTGCTTGTACTGGTTCCAGAGAGCCAATTGTTAAATTTTCAGTGTGAGTGTTCACATCTCAGGAATCAGCAAATTCTAGCAAAATCAGGGCTTGATGTATCTATTTAGTTATTTGGAGGTGAAGTGACTTGCCCAGGGTCACACAGCTAATAAGTTTCAGAGGTCGGACTTAAACTCAGGTCCTCCTGACTCTAGGGCCAGTGCTCTATCCACCGTGCCACTTAGCTGCTCCTTGATTTATTGTTTTACTAATTGTCTAGACAAGAAAATGATGAAGGAAATATTGATCTCGCAGATTAGACTCATAAGTGTGTCATGCATATGTCTCAGATAGCTGATTGTTAAACATTTACCAAGCACATACCTGGTTCTAGTTTTTAGGAAATGCTTCTTCGCATTGAACTAAAATTTTTCTCTAAAACTTTTCCCACTGGTCTGTTCTCTGGGGACAATTAGAACAAATCTGATCCTTCTTCATAAGGCCATACACTAGAGACCATCAAGTACTTCCATACTCATTTTACAGATCAGGAAACTGAGGTACAGAGAGGCTGAGTGATTTGCCCAAGGTCGTATAAATATTAGGTAGCAGAGCCAAGATTTGAATTTAGGTCTTAGCTCTCCAAGCTCAGTTATCTTTCCACTAAAAGCGGTCTTTTCCAGTACTAGCACAGTGCTTGACACATAGTGGGTGCTTCATAAGTGTTTTGGACTGACTGATTGCCACCATACTCTCACCTTACCTGACATCCCTTCAAACACTTCCCTGAAGTTCTCTCTTCTCCAGCTCCTTCAACCAATCCCTTTCACCATGGCAGTTCCCTCGTTTGGGCACTCTCCTATCAATGGCTTTCCTGAACCGTTCACTCAGAAATGAATACAGTCTCGTAGCGATGGGCAGACCAGGGCAGAGGACAATGTGACTTGGGAGTCCCTTGCTCTGAATTCTCTGCATTTAGGAATTAGCCACTTAGCTGTAGTGCTAAGAGATTGCCCATACCCCTTCCCAATGGGGATTTTAGGGTTAAAGAAATATTAATAATATTAATAATTCACATTTCTATGATGCTTTCAAGATTGCAAAGTGCTTCCCCCACAACCTGAGTCCCTTGTGATTTCTCAACCATGCAGATTAGCATAGGCCCAGGAATTGGTAAGGAATGTCTGGACAGCCTTTGCTAAGCCCCGCCCCCTCCTTTCTACATTCTACTTAGAAGTAACCTTAGAGATGGCAGGGGCCCTCTAGATCATCTCATCCAATCCCTTCATTTTACAAATGAGGAAAATGAGGCCCAGAGAGGGAAGTGAGTTGCCCAAGGTCACTTAGCCAGTAAACGACAGAGCTGGGATTTGAGCACTGACTCCACATCCCGCATTCTGCCCATTCTGCCACTCATTCGTGGGAAGTTGTGCTGTTAAGGACATCTGGAGTTGCCTAACTACAGAGCGGTGCAAGGCAAGGCAATCTATTTTTATTTAATTTACATTTATTAAGCCCCTACTGTGTACATGGCATTGTAGATAGATGGAAAACAACAACTGGATTTCTATGGTGCCTTCCTTGCATTTCATAAGCTTATAGGAGTCAGGGCTGGCAGAGACCTTAGGAAGCATCTATTCCAACTCCCTTGTTTACTAGATGAGGAAACTGAGGCCCACCATGGTGTAGAGGAAAAACTCTAATTTTGGAGTTAGAAGGCTTGGGTTCAACTTTGAGCTCTGCTTGACCACCTGTGGGCCCTTGGGCAAAGTCACCTCATCTCTCTGGGCCTCAGTTTTCTCACCTGTGAAATGAAACACTGAGACTAGACGGCCTTTACAGGTCCCTGTCAGCGGCTATTCTGTGATCCCTTGGCACACGTGGCCTGGCACAGCTGGTAATCCTTTCATATGTAGAGCTTATCTTCCCAACTAGAGCAGAAGCTTCTTGTGGGCAAGGGCTGCGTCTTAGCAGCTCTGTCTCCTCCACAGTAGCATAGAGCTTAACATCCAAGGCCTTCCACTGTCTGGGGCTACCTTATCTTCAAGCTTTAATTCAAAGTACCTTCTTCCATGTCCAGTCAAAGTGGTCTGTGTCTCTGTCTCTATCCAACTATCAGTCTCTCCGCCTTTATCTCTCGTTTCTTTCTGTCTCTTGATATTGCTCTATCTTATTTTCTCTCTCTCTCTCTCCCTCTCCCTCTGTCTCTCTCTCTCTCTCTCACTCTCTCTCCTTCTCACTCTCTCTCTCCC